CTTCATATGGCGTAAGTGAGAAGCACATCTGAAAATCCAGTTTGAAAGCTTCACTACAAGTACGAAACGAAGCTTGAAACCAATGCAATGGTTTTAAGTAAAGAAAAACTTTTGGAATACACTAATAGCATCAAATCACTGTCAGGTTTTGAAAAATGTGATTCACCAAGATCTCTGAACTGTAGCATTTCCTTTGTTTTACGAAAGAGAGCTCTTAATTTGTTTAGGCTTCCATTGGAGACTATCTCCCATCCACAGAAATCCTTTCCATCTGCTCTAGCATAATTCTTTTACTTAACTGACTTTTTTTCCCTAGATACTGATGTGACTGAAATGATTTGATCTGATTTTCCTTTGCTTCTGACCTCAATGTTACATTTATACCCACGTGAAGCTTGTAACTGTGATCAACAATGCCAGTTCCTTTTGCTATTGAAAATCATTATGCCTGCTGTATTCAGGATGATCAATATTCTAGCAGAAGAATCTGAGAGGTCTGTCAGAGGAAAAACATTCTTTTTCCTCAACTCTCTTCTTTATACCAGAGTATTATAAAACATTCAGAAGAATGAACTATATACGTACTTGTATTTCATGACTTTATTTTTTTTTTCCACTTGAGAAAGAGATGGAAAAAAAGTCTAAGAGTAAAATTTAAAAAGTACCTCAGAGTATGCACGTGTGGTAGAATAAATGATTTGCTTAACCAACTTCTACCTGCACTGTCCCATGTAGGTGGCTACTAGTTTCAGGGTAGACTCAGTCTGTAGGAAATCTGGCTGTCTACAAAGCTTTCTGTTGCATGGTACTGAAATACTCTCAGAAGTGGAGGTGTGTATGGGCCTGGCCATAGGAATGGCCGTGCTGGAGACCATGTCCAGGTCTACCCAGGAGAGGGGCGTGTCATGTCCTGCTGTGTGCCCTACCACCTGGTACAGGCAAGGGGCGTGAGGGAAGAGTTTAAATAGCCTCCCTTAAGCCTGAGACGGTGTGATTCACCCACCATCTTCCAACCTGGACAAGACAAAGAAACTGCTTGTCCAGCTGCCATCTTAGCACCAAAGGCCTTGGAAGTGGTGACTATCCCTCACCTTTTCTACTTCTCTGATAACTTCTTTCTTTCTTTTCTCTCCTTTTTATCATTTTCTCATTCTCTTTTCTTTTTTTCTAACATGTGCGGCTGCAGCGGGCTGTAGCTGGCAGTTTTGGTTTTGGGTTACAGTATTAAGCTAAGTCCTCTTGGTTCTGCTAGTCAAATTGTTATAGTGTTGCTAAGTTGCACCCTGTTCCGGTAATTTTGGGGTCATTTCGGTTTCTTGTCGGTATTCCATCGCTCATGGGTTGTTGAAGGGTTTGAATCCAGTGTTGTTTCTTTCAAGGCATGTATCTTATCTAGTAAAAACATCGCTTACATCCTCCTTCTGAGTGATTTCGTATCACTCTGTCGCCATGCCGGGATAAAAGAGCTCACTTTTAAAGCGGGCCGTGACAAGGTGTAACTCTGAGTTCTTAAATATTGCATTTAGGAGTCTGAGGGCATGTCTAAAATAGATTTAGAGATTATTATTAGCATTTCATTTTTACAGATGACATGGAAGAAGAGGGAATAGGATGCAAGAAAATTATCTTCTGCACATTTCAGTGATTGGATTTACAAAGGTAAAGATGCCTAAAGGTGCAGAAAGGTGTCTAGGGGAACTTCCAAAAGTCCCTTGGTGAGTGACATGCGTAGTCTCATTGAACACGTGAAATTCTAGATCTGTTCAAGTGCTTTTACAACATCAGCAAAGAGCTTCTTTGCACTCCTAGACATCTAATTATCTCTGTAAGAAGCCGCTCAATTAGTTGCAGATGGCCAGCAGAAGGAAAAGGGATTAAATGTTTGGCATTTAAATGAATATATTCTGCTTTTGGGCTAGGAAAGGTTTTGTTTTTCTGAGCGCATTTTCTGTCTGTAGCTCTGACTCAGGTTACTCTGGCTTGGTGCTCTGCTGTCTCAGTATGGCACGACACAGCAAAAGTAAATAAGGCCTGGTGAGCCGCAGTCTCCATGGAGGGATTATTTACCCAGTGACATGATGTATGCCTTCCCACCGTGATGCCACCACATCATTTCCTTAACTCCTTCGCTATCACCAGCTTCCCCTGGGGAGATGGGATGATGCTCTCTGATGTGTCAGTAGTTCATTTTAAAGAGGGAGCTTTTGATGAGGTGCTGCCAGCCAAATGGGGCTGCTGCCTATCATACAAACTATCACTGCAGATGTTTTTTCCTGTGAATGTTATGTACTAGGGAGCACTGAGAAAATTATGCTTACTGAACAAAATCAAGAGTCTAATTACAGTGATTTTTATAGAGAGTTAAAGGGTGCACGTCAAAAGGAACTGATATATAATTACAATAATATCAATGGCAGCTCCTGTGCTATCTAATTACTTGAAATGGGTGGCATTGTGCAACCTTTAGGAAAGTAAACTCCTTTGATAACAAAATTATATAATCTTAATATGAAATAAAAATAACATTGAAAGGAAAGGAAAATGAATATATTGGTAGGAATAATAATCAAAGAGGCAGCACTCAGTGTGCTGGAAAGACAGTACAAACAGGAACCCACCAACTGTCTCCAATCTCAAATCTGTGGTACGCTTTTGACTTGCACTGTGTCAGAAACTGAGATGCTGTGCACGTTGCCTAAACTGGTAGTCAAAATCAAGACATATCAGCATGACAAGAAAAGACGTGTAAGAAGTAGGGGAAGAAAGGAATAAAAAGAAGAAATTTAATAAAAATGGGAAAGAGCATAAACCTAGCTATCAAAGTGCTAAACTCTTCCTGAGTTTTGAGTGTCTTCAGGTTTTGAATTTGCTCTGGATCCTCTGAGGTACTGCAAACCCCCAGCTGCTGAGTAGGTGCTGGGCCCTCTGGGATTCAGGCACTCAGACACCTTTGAGGACTGAGGTCTTTCTATATTGGCTTCATACTGGCTATATTACACTGATAAAACTATCAGTAATACTTGGTATAAATAAAATACTAATGTTATTACTTCAACATACATTTTGTTTATCACGGACGTAATTTAATTACACAGAACCTGTACCTACTATAATGCCACCTGTTGAGAAATGATCTGGACTCTGGAAAAATCTAATTTTTCCATTAATTAGAAAATAAAAACTTAGCATGTACATGTGCAAGCCCATGGATCTGCTGGTAGGTGCATGCTCCTAAGTATGGTGTAGCCTAGAAAAATCAAACAGTGACATCAACAGATTTTCAGTTATTAGTGGTTTCCAGATTTTTGTGGCCACTGTGGAGAGGCACCAAAACTTTCATGGATACTATATGATCATCAGTCTTGTAATGGAAAGCAAGACTGAATAAAAGGTTTAATATTATTCTATTGAATACCTGCAGCTCATTTATCTCATGGACTGCAGTTTGGATAACTTCTTTAAGCTCTCATCATCTCATTTAATAGCAAAGACACAATCACATGTACAGGCTAAGTCTACATATTTTTTGTAAAATTTTAAAATAAGAAAACTAGAATGGCTACTGGCTACAATCCCCTTTTTACTGCAAGTTTGGTGAATACATTTCTTCATGTACTGATTTCAAGAATCATCGTAGAATGGTTTGGGTTGGAAGGGACCTTAAAGACCATCCAGTCCAAACCCCCCCCATAGGCAGGGACACCTCCCAGTAGACAGGTTGCCCAAAGCCCTGTCCTACCTGGCCTTGAACACTGGCAGGAAGGGGGCATCCACAACATCCCTGGGCAACCTGTGCCAGTGTCTCACCACCCTCACAGTGAAGAATTTCTTCCTAATGCCTAATCTAAATCTACCCCTTTCCAGTTTAAAGCCATTACCCCTTGTCCTGTCGCTACATGCCTTTGTAAAAAGTCCATCTCCAGCTTTCTTGTGGGCCTCCAGAAGCTACTTTTTGTCTTGTACTCATTTAAGCAATCTGTTCTCATGAGATTGTACAGAATGAAAGGACTTAACTGTTGATGTCTTTTCAAATTCATTGTACTAATTCCTCATTTAATCCAATCTTGTCTCTTTTTGGTACAAGAATAAAAACATGAAATACCTTTCTATCATATGAGTGTTTTCATTGCTGCACCGTTTTCTTAAATAAAATTGAATGTTTGGAACTCTTCTTCTGAGCTGCAACCTCACAACCACTTGCCACATACATTGGCCTGTTGTGCCCTCAGCAATAGCTGCATACTGTTTATTCAGTAGCGTTCAAAAGAGATTGTGACTTAGTCCTCTGAGCATAACCTTCCAAAGGAGTCCTACTGAAGTTCTTCCCTATCAGAAAAAGTTCCCTCATACCTACATCCTAGCAGCAGTGGCCTCCACAGCTGCAGTGACTCTGTTTTACATAACGTTGCTTCACAAAGTCTGAAGTTCACTGGCTTGTCTTTAATATCCAACTAAATTCCACTGAATTAGTATTTTAAATCTCTGCTGAAGATTGCCTTTTGCTCCTTTGTGTAGCATGTTGGTGTTGAATGTCAAGCAGACAAAAGGAAATCTGAGGTTTTGAAAGTGATCATGGTTTTAATTGAGAAATCTGTCTAATTACAATAAAAAATGTCAGAACTAAAGAACTTGAAAATGAAGAATAAAATGTTATTTCAACTTTGCAATCATTTTATATGCACTTTGGTTTATTTATGATTATTCAATGTAGGATCTGTTAAAAATCTTATCTAGTTTGCAAGGAGCATGGCTGAAATGATTAGCAAGACTGAAAAGATTTTTTTTCCTTCCAGGAATTTTACTTGATGAGATTAAGGTGTGAGAAATAATATAATGCTTATCATGAAACCCGTTATCTTCCAGAAGAAAAAAACCCAAACAAACAAACAAACACCTACCAAAAAGAAATAAGCCAACAAATACCCACGGACCACACTGCTGCCCAGGCTGGCAGAGCAGTCTCAATCACATTTCTGACATCTACCAGAAGGCTTTCTTACCTTCACAGCAAACTCTGTTTCTGTAGCTTTATGAACACATCTCTTGCACACTGAATAGGAGCCAATTCCTATGTCCTCCTTGATCTCGTATCCATCTGTAAAGTGAATGTTGTTCCCATGTAACTGCTATAGGAAAAGACAAAAGAAATGAGGTAATCAGGACATGAGTATGTAAAAGCAAGGACTAGCCTCATCTTAATAAAAGAAGTGCTTGATCTAATCTCCTTTACAGACCTCTCTTGTTCTTCGCAGTTTTTCTAAGTCTGGTTAAAAAAATCTAAAGCTCTATACTTAATCAAGTGTGTCCCCTTCCATTTTACCTTTTTCCAGTCTGTAAGATGGAGTTGTCCATGTAGAAGTAATGGCAAAAAAGCAGTGATTTTCTAAACTATTTATGGAATGCAGATAATTTTTTCTGGGATGTAATTGCTTGGGTAACATGCCATTTGCTTATGCCATGTTGCATAAGAGAATCTTTAAGAATATGACATATTCCACTGTAAATTATTATAAAAGGGATGAAAATATGAAAACTTATGAAAGCCAGAGGCAGAGGGTCTTCCCTCGAAGCATGTATAACTCTGTAGGTAGGCTTTAGGTAGGAGAGGAGCTTTTTCCTTGTGAGAAAATTTGCTGCATCTTTGAGCAGCCCAGTTCTTTCTCCCAATTCATAGTTCCTCTGATGTACTGAGCCATTTGTAGCACTTTTTTTCCCTCTGGTTTAAATTACAATAACTGGAAAACATGTTGCAGGGGATTGGCAGCAAAGAACCAAGTCTCTGGCAAGTGTCCTTCCCCTGTCAAGCCACTTTGGGTTACTAGAGTACAGGCTCTTGTGCAATAGCAGCAGGAACATGGTGGCCTTTTATACCAAGGAACTTGGTCTCCAAGCCTATGGGAGCCTACAGCAGCAGTTCATTAAGCCCCTTTGCCAACAGAGACTATCCTATAATACATGACAAAACTGTTGAGAATTACATGCATTCATTGAAGGAACATCACTTTTGTTACCTGCCCTATATACACAACTGGAATAGTGTTTCAGATATTCAGAAATAGTTTTCATTTCAGTTGTGATAAGGTGTGATTCCTGATTCCTTTGTAAAAGCTGTGAAGAATGTGAACTTAAAGATAAAAGCCTTTGGAAAAAAAAATCTTGTTTTCCACCCCTTACATGCTGCATGTAAACACCTTCTACCTACACTGGGTAGCTGTGAAATACCAGTGAGAATGCTGAAGCAGTTTAAATCCACTGTACACATATGCATCTGCCCATCAAATGGAAAGCGTAACATCAGCATCTGTACCTGCACAATGGGATGGACGGTGATTTTGTGCACATCTTGCTGTGCAGGCTCCTGCACCAAGTTAGAGGCAACAAAGCTGAATCCTCTGAAAAGATGATGAGCATTGGCACTTGGAGGAACACCTGGGGAGTCTGTAGGAGAAGGAAGAAAATGGCCTCATGAGCTGCACAAAAGATCAGAAAGTAATATCATCTGCAACAAAGTCACTCCTGCCAGTTAACAGCAGATCCTACTAAACTGGCAGACACACATGAATATAATCCACGTCCATATATAAGGCTTTGGTGTGCCTTCTCTATTCCTTTCCTCTGGATCAGACAGTGCAGGGGTGCTGTTTGCAAGGATCTCTCCTCTTGGATACAGAGGGGTTTTTTTCATGGTGCACACTCATTCTTATTTGGTCTTTCTTTGGTGTGTCCCCTCCCCTTGCCCCCCTTCACATTTCTTGCAGTGCAACATGTGATTTACTATGGCAGGGTTGCAAAGCTAAACTTCCTTTAGAATGCTATCTCCTTGTATGAGTGTGTAAAGACCCAGTTTTACTAGAGTAAAGAAAATACATCCCCACTGGACCTTGTGTCCGACTCACCTACCCACACGATCAGCACCACCCATTAGGTGCAGGACAGTGGTGTGGAAGACTGAGTACTGTTCAAGTCTCTGAAAATACGTGAGAATGTATTTTCTTATGGGGACATTCCCTGTATAAATCTACTAGTCAACTGAACAGAGGATATGAGGCCAGAATATGGTAAAAACAAATTATCTGCTCAGGAATACACAGAACTGAGACTGCAGCTAATTCCATATCTCATTACAAAGCCACCTCAGCTTTGACAGGAGTCAGAAATAAGCACAGCAAGTCAGACGTCACTGCAAAATACGTGGAGAAGCTTCTCTTTTGGTAAAATGATGTGGGCTATTTGTTTACCCCAGTGTTTTGATGGGCACTCTGCTTGCAAATACATGGATGAATCACACCAGACCTCTTGCATCACTGTGTACTTCTTACAATGGCATATATACAACAGTGATTTTCCAAAAGGGATTAATTAAGAGGAAAGAATGTTTGTTTTTAAAAAGGAATGACAGTAATTCAAATCTGAACACTTCTGAACTTCAGAAAAGCTGTGATCCGGCTCTAAAACTTAGTGCTAGATCATCTTTAAAAATTGTTCCTTCGTAATTCACTGCAAATTTCTTTATCAAAAACTGCAGAGGAACTACTGATTATTTGGTGTTCAATATTAAATATTAATCACCATCAACTGATATGCCCATCATATGAATTAAATGTTAAAACACCTCTGTTAAGTGCAAAATCAGATTAATTAACCAATAGCTATGAAACCTACATCATTTTCCTACTCTTGATAAATCCAGAATAATTTCGTATGTCTGAATTAGACCCACTTGCAAACACCGATCTGGTATAATGGTTATCTTTCTCCCTGTGAAAATCATAATGCTTTGTCCCACTAAAGCATCTAACTTTACAGGATTTTCAAAGGCTTCGTAAATCTTAAGTAATTTAATTCAGTGTGCTTTATTGAGGTTAGCAAACATTATAATCTTATTTGGAGTGGAGGAAATTTAGCTATTTCAGGTGCATAATTTTTCTCAGCAATAAAGCCAGCCTAAGACATCCCTGCTGGTTATAGCATGCCCATCACTTAACACAGTACAAACATTTGTGGACTGAAATGTAAGTTGCATCACCAGAATGATCTTAGTTTGATTCTTCTTCAATTCACCATTTATAGCCTGGGTTGCTTCAGTCTCCTGCTTCCTGTGAGGAGCTAAGTCAGCAAAAAGGAGTTGTGGGTCCACAGTGGTGGAGTTAGGAAATAAGTGGCCACAAAATCGACTCAAACTAAGATGAATCTCTGAGAAAAAGTGATGTGAAACTACACCCATACAGATGAACTCTCAATGTCAGAAACCACATCTTTGGTGCACTCAAAGTTTAGGCCAAAAATCCACAGAAAGCTGTTTCAACCTCCAGGCTAAAGAAACTTTTTGAAATACAGTAAATTACTGGACTGGCAAGTTACTGGATCCAAAACTTTCGCATAAACCTGTTTCCAGGCAGGAGAACTCATTCATAAAGACAGAGTGCAAAATTACTGTATGCATCAGTACCCCTCCTTGGAGGGGGGGGGGTATCTTTCTGATAGCTTCATTAAATCACAATGACTGCATTATCATCATGAAATGGGAATTATCACAGTGCTTTCTGTCTGGCTAAATTCTCAGTAACAGAGTAAATTTATAATTATTTATAATGCTCCCCTTTTGTAGTTGATCCAACCAGTCAGCAGTCAGGGGCTGCAAAATACGCTGCCAGTCTGCAAGGGCTTTTCTATCACTCTGGAAGTGCAAAGGGGTTCACGCTTCCAATTACACTTATTTTGAAATGACAGGGTTTGAGTCTCAGGCCACCTTCTATAGCAGCAAGAAGCAGAATTAAGGCAGGCCATCTCCCCACCCCAGCCACCTCCCCAAGACAAACCTTCCAAGTCAGTGTCTTGCATGAAATATCAAATTGAATTAGGCAACAGTAGTAAATGCAGAGGGTAAAATATAACCTTGGGCATCAGCACATGCATGAAGCACTAGGGTTTTCATGCCAGCACAACCAATGAAGTGTGAACTTCCAAAGCAACGCAAACTCTCAAAGTTTCTCTGAGACTCTCCAGGGGAGCACCAGACTGCACTTCTCTCAAGACCAGACTAACTTGCAGTCTCCAATATTTCAGAGAAATGAGTTCATCTGAAATCTGAATTAAAGCTCAAACCAAAGGTGTGGAAAGTCTGGTATCCAAATATCACTTGTTTCCATGCAGCAGAACAGGAACATCAGAATATGACTAACATATACTGGAGACAGATGGATGTTCCAGTTGGACCCAAATAACCAGAGTATAATATTTTTATAGCTTGTGAAAGTTGGCATATCCTTGCCAGAAAAACTAGAAGCCAAGACCAATAAAAAATTTTGAGGAGATACCATTACTTCATAGCCCATGAAAGGAGGTTTGAGCCAGGTTTTGAATAGAGGTTTGGGCTAGTTTTAAGAAAAAGGCTGAAGGTCATGATAAGCCCAAACTAAAACTAATGCATGGGTTTTTGTAATGAAAGCTCAGATGTTTTACTCCCACTGCAACAGTTCTCGTGCAATTTGAGACTTCAAGCTTGAGATCTTATACTTGGTTATTACAACAATAATATGTGATATTTACAGTGCTTACCATCTTCAAAGTCTTTTACAAACAACAGCAATTTAAATTTTTACATTTTAGAACATATATATAGGTACTTCTTTACACGGGAATATCACTGGCAGAAATGTAATGTAGATTATCCATGTCTAGCAAGAGGGAACATTATAACTGAGATTATCACTCCAAGGTTACTGACATTCTTGCTTTCAACTAGAACAGCAGAAAGATGGTGTTTTGTACAACAAACACCTTCACATATATAGTGCACAAAATATGATATTCCAGTTAGGAGATAGAAATTATAGGAACAACATTCTAACTGCAAGGATTTTCTAAACATTGTGGGCCAAATTTCCTGTTGTTGTAACTCCATTGGTCTGAGAACTTGATGATACTTCATTGCAGTTAACCATGTATTAACTTTCAACAGTCCGTAGTCTATGGGACTTCATAATAAAAGAAAACAGCTAGAGAATATATAATCATATATTAACTTGTAGAGATGCAAAGTTCTTTGAAGTCAAGGTGGTTTAAAATAGTTAAATTCAGCTAACATAAGCAATGATAAAAGTAGTAAAATAGAAATTCAGTAGTTATTTTTAAATTATGTTCATTTTAAATTCATGTTATGAATTTACTCACTCAAAAGATGCCACCTTACCCACGTGCCACCTTACTAACCTGTGGGGGTCCGAGATGTGAACTCTGGATCAAAATGAAAGGTGTCTTCTGGCCGTCCTACTGCGGGCTTGAAAGGTGGCTTGATTTCTTTCCTGTATAGTTTCTACAAGGAGAAGAACAGATCACAATCAACAATTTGTACACATTCAGCTTCAGCAGATAGGCTCTCCCTCTTATTTAGGGTGACCTCTCTCAGCTGTGTCATCCTTGCAGAACTGACACAAAAGGATGATATATCCGTAGTGCTGGCTCTTGCCTGACTGGTCGGCTTAAAACCTGTGCCCTGGATAGTCCCTGCACTTCTTAGTTACAGGAATCCAGAGTATAAACACAAAAGTTTCTGGTAAAAATTTAGCTTGTAGAGGGGCACAATATTCTAGCTGAGGCATCTGGAATTTCATAGTCTTAAGGGCAGGCCTGGAATATGCAATGGTAACACCAAGAAACCACGCATGGGTGAGTTCAGCCATGCAGTGATGGCAGTGAAGAACTGCTAGGAAGTGGTGGCTGGTTTAGAATTTATTATTTGTCAAGAACTAACAATATGTTTGACACTCTGCCAGACTAAGCTGAGAAACAGGCCTGGCTGCCTGGTGCTCAAAACCTAAACAAGAGGTTTGTTCTTTTGGCATATCTGGTAAAAAGGAAAGGACTCAGAGCTGGAGATTAGATGAAATTCTCATCAAAAAATGTTAGGAAGAAAGCATTGTGGCCAGGTGGGGAGTCATGTTGAAGGCCTAAATGTGTCTTGAGCAGAGGAGCAAAACCAAGGGATGACATAAGGAGGAGAGGAAGGTAAGCATTGCTAGATGTGTGATTTTGTGTTGGTGAGTGAGGGGGCACGTAAGAGATCACATAATAGTCACCATAAATGCATGTTAAATAGACTGACTTTATTACCAGGGACTTTGTGGCCTCTTTACTCATGGTTAATGATCTTTAAGAAATTGCTTCACTGTGCTCCTTTGCAAGCATTCATAAACACACAAACACACACACACTCACTCTGGGAGATTAACAAACTGAGGTGCAGCACGTCTTGATCTGATCCAAAGCCTACAGAAGTTAGTGGAAAGAGTCCTATTGATTTCATCGATTTGTGCATCATCTTTTCTTGAAATGTCCAAAACCGAACATCATGCTAAGGACGGCATGGGGAACAGAGCTCCAGTCTGATTCCCTGCCCCATGTTTCAGTCCCTAGACTGCATTCACTTTCTAGCAATGCTTTTGTTCTAAGGTTTCAAAGGGCTGAATTAGTTGCCACAGACAGCACCCAGTAATTTCAACATGTCTGAGAATAAATGTAACGTTTCATCCAAGCTTTCAAGTCATGATAAGAGTTGGAGAGTTCAATTTTATGACTGTTTGTAATATGTATTTTCAGGTTAACTCTTAAAACAACTTCATCATAAACTGATTTTTCGAAATATTTAATGCAGATTAATACATGCTCCTCCAGCTCTTTGAATGCAGGAAGATTCTTTTTAGCTGTGGGTTTTGTGGTGAATTAACTTCTGTAATGTAAAGCATGTGGTCAAACCTAAGATATATATACATCAACATAATTTGAACTTGATTTTGCATAGATAAATAAAGGTTCTTGAGGCAGGACATTCCATAGCATAATATTAGCATTAGCATAAAGAATATGTTTGTGGCTGAATTATAATTCCTTGGAAAAATGGAAAGGGGAGGCTGGAAATGATTCTGCAATAATTAATGGCCATTTCACCATAAAAAGTTCCTGCTTGCATAAAACTGAGGGAAAAAGAGATGGATAACTGCTGTGAGCCACAATGGAAAGACAGTCTTCCAAATAATTAAAAGCCAATTGGATTCTTAAGCAGGAAGTGTCACTCATCAACTGAAAAGTATCAACCTAGTAATTAACATACGTCTGTTTTCTGTCTGCACAGAACTTTAAAAGAGAGCTCGGCACATATTGAAGGTTTTTTTGTTGCTAGGATTTCACCTTGAGAAAGCTATTTGTTTCCAGCTTCCCTTTATTTGTCTTAATTCACAACTGCAGTCACACAATAGAAATAAAGATGGAAGAAATAGAAGAAAGCAATATGGTCACACTCACATGCTTTCTCCTTGAATTAAATGCACCCCTTATCCTGTGAGGTCCAAAAATAGGAAAGTGTTTTTGAGTCGTACATCATTCAAGGACTGCACTCTCTTTTTATTATCGTAACCATATTCTCTCTGGCCTCTTAATTCCTCCCCCCATCTGTAGTTTCTTAAGTGCTGTTGGAGCTACAGTTGTATTTTGAATCCCTAACCCACATCCTCCACTACTAGGGAGGGATTTGAGATTCATCATGAGTCACACACCACCTAAAGATGTGTAATCACAAATCTGCTTGCTGAGAAGGGATAGAAACAAAGAAGTTGCTTGTCCTTTGAGCACAACTCAGATGACTCCCTTTTCTGTTTCCTTGTGATAAAAATGATTTCTACTATTTCTGACTAGACAACTAGGATCAGCAAAAGGTACAGTGCTTAAAACACTTTTTCCCCCGAAGCCCTTGAGTTGAGTAACTAAATTAAATCTTTGATGAACAAGAACAAGCAGAGCAGTGTCATCTGTGGCCTTTCCCATCCCACACTGGCTCCAGTTCTGCAAGTAAGCCACCACGACCAAAGCCAATTCACTGAAGCAAACTAAACCACAGGGCAGCCCAACACAGTTAAACATGAAGTCTTGCTGCAGACAGAATGCTTCTGCCTTTAAAATCCTGCATCCTGTAGACTGCAAAATCCAACGTGACACAAGCTGATCTAAGAAAACAGTAAGAATCACAGCCGTTGTTTTCTATACACACAGAGAAAAAAATCCCTTAGAGATATGAGATCCTTCTGGATTTTCCAAGAATATTTCTAATTTTAGGTGAAATGTATTAACCTATTACATCTTACCATGGTCCCAAAATTATTTGGGGCTGATGGATCACCTTGATCTCTTTCAACAGAAAACCAACCAGAGTGGCAAATGACATAGCAAGTTAAGTTTCAAATCTTGTCTTTGATCATTTCTATCAGGCTGTCACATGAAGTTTGAACAGTTATCTACATCACAAGTCCTGGTAATACTGGCTTAGTATGCAGAAGTCACTGGGAGTTCCACCATCTATTTTAATTGGTACGAGGTCCCAGTTGTCCCAGTTTAAATCCCGGTTTTCCTATCCAAATTATTTTCTTGAGGCACCTTATTAGGCATTCAAAAGAGACTTTGGATATGTTAATAATAACTGGACCATTTAAATTTCAGGTTGGCTGCTTAAGAACACTGTATATGTGTTATCTTGCACAAGTATAAGAGGCTGGAGATTTTTTTTCTTCCATGTTACTTCCATATCTATAAAGAAGAAATTTATTCCTTAGCCCTTAATGTTTTATTAAGAATGTAATTTCTCTCTCTTTCCCAGCAAAGAATAACTGAAAGGGCTCTCAAAGACTGAACAGGCTGCCCAGGGAAGTGGTGGAATCACCATCCTTGGATGTATTTAAAAGCCATCTAGATATGGTGCTCATGGTTATGGTTTAGAAGTGTGCATGGTAGAGCTAGGTAACATTTGGACTTGATGATCTTCAAGGTCTTTTCTGACCATTATGATTCTATGATTCTAACCCCCCCACATTTCACCCTCATTTTTTTTAACTGGTCACAGCATTGACTTCTCACAGAAAAATGTGACTGAGAGGTATCAGAAATCACTGTGCATCACACACGGCTGTTGGATCCAGAGGCTGTGCAGAGGGAGTGCATAATGCACAAAATGAGGGAGATGAACTCTAAGGTGTGAAAGTACTGATTTAGATATTCACACCTGGGTACATATCCATGCCTCTGTCTACTTATCAACCCCTCACATCCTTGTAAGACTTTGATAATCAGTACCTTCAGGTTAAAGAGTACCTATGAATTAACTAGAACACAGTTCTATAGCAGTTTGAGAAACTATGAACTTCTATCAACTTCCTTTCTGATTTGGAACAAAATCCCCTTTTTTTGAAATAACTAATTTTCCCCCAGGTCTCAATGATCTTTTCTTAATGTATGTTGCCAGATCCCTGGTATGAACTTCACCTGAACATCTCCTCATCTGAGAGTCAAATAATCCACTGGGGAGACTAGTAACAAAATGCTGTGACATGTGTGTCTCGTTATTTATAAGCAGTTAATTTTTCATAATTTTCAAAAAAATGCACTCCTAAAAAAACCCAGAGATGTAAATGCCCTGTACATGTGCCTGGCAAATAGAAAGAAAAAGAAAATTGTTTAATTAAATTAAAAACTATTTATTCATTTCCTCAACTGAGTTTCTTTGATGAAGAATTGAATTATTCCTTAGACACCTTCTAGAAAAAGAAAGATGCTACCCTCCACAGTGACACACCTGTAGTGTGAGAATAAACTGCCTTGATACATTTACCTGCCATGGAAAATCCAATAAGCAGACAAAAGGATGAACTACCTTCTACAATGCTTGTCTTCTCCTAGATTAATGGCTTGGTGTTATTGCCTGCAAAGGATAGAAAAGCTAGCAGAATTCAGAAATTAGGATCAATTTTTGCTGTGGGTAAAATCTGCAATTAAATAATTCATGTTTTCAGTTTAGTTTGATCTTTGATTAATACTGAAGGAAATAGAACTTGAGTCCATTTTCTTCCCACTCCTTCCCTCAGCTGTACTTGACAGTCCATTTTATAGCGTGTCATGTGCTCTAGTTCCAATTTAGCCTGTCATCTAAACAAAAACTACTGTTTATAGCCCACTCCTCTGACTGCAGTTTGCAAAAAGGGATTTGATTTTTCATTTTCAATGAAAAGCCAGAAATTCTTTACACATGACCCAGAAAGAAGAACCAGTAATAAAAAAGTCAGGAACCAAACTGTGCTTTCTCAGAGTCAATGACTGATATTATCTGAGGCTAACTTGTTTTGGATCTGCTTGTCTTAGGGAGATAAGGGGGTGCAAGGGTAGTAAGCAAGTAAAACTCAGAAGGAGTTCGACATCTAATCTCCTTCCTGTGATTCCCAGCCTCGATCATGAAAGACAGTTAATTCATTTAGCAAAGGGTCTATTGAATTTCTGTCACAGTGTCTACTAAATGCCTTAGAGCAGCAAGACTGATATTTGAAGAAACCTTCATCTATTTTTCACCCTAAGAAGTGGGAATTTAGGGTTCAGTTACAGGGTGACAATAGCTGTAAAGACGAGTATCGTACAGAGATTAGCTCATGCCACGGTTGAAGTTTGGGCATAAAACCTCTGTGGGATTGTCCACAGTTCACTTAGTGTAACTTATTCACCAAAAGTTAAACTTAGGGTGGCTTGGAGAGTTGTACTGAAGAATGGCACCCTGAACATGGGAATTATGTAAAGCAGCTGTGGGAGAGAATGGGAGGAGGATAGGAGGAGGACAATCATTCTCTGGCTACACTCATGTTTTCCAGGATCACCATACATGATCAGCACCGCTGTGCTTGGCACAAGCACCTGCAGCATCATAAAAGGGGGCTTCTTTACACTGCATATGTTGTTTCCACTGTGTTTGCTGCCTTCACCTGAACCAGGCACCCTCTGGTTGTGACTGTTTGAAGGCCATCAAAGATGGGAAACAAACAGGAAACAACTGCTCCAACGGGTAAATGCTTCAGTGACAGAGACAATAACCAAGCCCCAATCCAAACCCCAAGTGAACAGTTCTGACAGTACTCTGACATGAAGATCTGATTTATACATTCCTGTCTGTGACTCTGATGACTTCTTCACTGTGATAGCTAGACTTGACACACAGAGAAGGAAGTAGTTAACTCTCATTTATGCTTTGAATGTCTTTTAAACTGAGATACAGAAACTTGGCAGTTGGTTCTTCATTATCACATCACTCATGTAGGAAAAGTCTTGCTTAAAAAAAGACCTGTTTCACACTGGGTTTCTAGAAGACACTAACCCATTCTGACCCTTCATGATAAGGGAGCTCCTGATGGAGGATCATTTTCTACAGCCGCTGAAAGTTTCTATGCTATCAGTTGCAGCAGTCCTGTCTATCACAGCTGTCAAGGTAGTGGAGAAGCTCTCCAAGAGAGCTTGCCTCTTGCTCTCTAAGATCTTTATATTACCAAGGTATAAAATAAATTAACATTCATGTCCTGCCTCTACAATGTTTTTTGCTGACTGTCTGCAAATCGATGTGAGAGATTCTGTATACGTGATGGAAGAACAAATTGAGGCCATTGGGGACTCTTTTTCCTGCAACAGTACAGAGATCAGCATTAAACATATGTGCCTGATCCATTTCAGTTCTCTGACCCTGCTCTGTTTCTGTCCATGGAGAACATGTTAACAGTTGGTTGGATGATTACCACACGGCAAAGTCCTGGCTTCAGCTCAGAGCCAGTCTGGCTCTCACACTACTCTAAAATTCATACAATACTGCTGCTGTGACTAGATAAGTCTCCCAAGATCTCCATGAGTGATAGTAAAGTTAGGATTTAAATGAGAAAATAAGTTACAAAAATGATAGCTGATCTGTCTAATAATCATCCATCTGTCTCCAAGAGACTACAACAAGCACTAATTATGTTGGATCAAAATGGGTCATTACAGCTACATTTTACAGCAAAGTCAGAGGTCTAGATAAGACACCAAAGGGTAATTAAATCCAACTTCCTCTCTAGCTTCAAGTCATGTTCAAGCATACCTAGCCTCTTCGTAGTAAATAGTTTCCTAACTTGTCCATAAGAACTTTTTCAAATGATGGAAGACTGTACATTTTCCTTAGGAGAGGCATGAAATTGTTCCCTAAATAACTGAGCTTGAAACAATCACCAATCATCATGAGAGAAGGTGGTCTTGAGGAGTCTCACAGTCCAGAACTGACTTTGCTGAAAACCTTTCCAAGAACAGGTTTGTTTTTTTGAAAAAGAAAACATTCTGTGGGCCTTTCAAAGGCTACTTGGGCACCACAAAATGTTCTTTCACAAAGGAAAAGCCCTGGGCAGTGGTTTGGCAAGGCTTTGTCACATACATTCATGCTGTTTTATCAGAATTTATAGTGAGAACTGCATCAGTTGACCTGTTACATTATCATTCATGACTGAATTTGGATCAAATATTGAGACAACAATACTGTAACACAAGTCAAATATAATTAATCTAGAAAATTCTAGAGAATGTGGCAAACAGGAGCTCTGATGCGCTGGCAGATGTCCAGATCAAGAACAAAAAGTGTCTGATTCCAACTTTGTATAAAAATAAGTAGTTATGAAAAAATACGACACTGAAAATGTAAGGTTTCACCTGCTGCAAGTCTAAATTGAATACATAGCTAATCTACACCACCAGCTTTATGAGCTGTAGATGACAGCAATAAAACTCTTGTTTACCATTTTGTGAATCATGTCCGACATGTCTTATGTGAACCATGTTATGTCTGATCAAATGTTTGCTGTTCCAGTTTTGAGTGCTGATGTTAAATTAATGACTCACCTCAATAAAATATCAACTACTTGTAAGAGGAGTTTCTGTTTCCTGTTCTGGCTGGTTGACTTGTATACTCAGTAATGTAAAAATCACTCTTTTGAAGCCCCCTCTGTGTTGTGCTTTTCTGTAGCCCTTATCATGATATAGTGGAAGGGCCAGATCCTGTCCTATGGTCACTTAGGCCAAAAGGGACAAGAAGGGGTCAACAAAGCTATCCTGTTGGAAGCTTTATGATTCCCCAGAATAAAGTAGCATAACCTGCTGTACCAGCCAGTCTTAGTAGCACCATGCTGTGTTTGGGAAAAGGGTGCATCTGGACGTCTTGGAGATCCGTGGAGCTGTTGGCAGATGTGTAAAAGCAGACCTGGGGCTGTTCTGAATAATTTCAAGAGAGAAAATGATTTCTGGATGTCCCTGACATTGGAAAGACTAGCATTTAGTCCAGCTTGCCTAAACCAATGAGAAGGGGCAAGTATTTCAATAAGAAGAAGTAGAAAGATGAAGGGACCTAGAGCATCAGATCACTGCCCTCTGGAGTAGCTCTTTCAAGCCCAGTCCTTTGTTTCTGTTTTATTTTGCAATTGAAATATTACAGGAATTCTTTCATTTAAAGCTGCTCATTTTCACCCCAGTCCAGCTCCCATGATCAATGCATCATGTTTATTAGAGCTGAATGTGGAAATCATTCTGCAGAACACTGCAAATAGCCTCAGGTAGTACCATGATAAGCCAGACCATCAGACAAAACACAGACAAGCAGTTAGAAAAACTGGCAATGCTGAAAGCAGCTTTCAATTTCTTTTATTTGTGGGTATGTGAACAAATATATATATAGAATTATAGAATCATTTAGGTTGGAAAAGACCTTTAAGCTCTTTGAGTCCAATTGTAATCCTAATATTGCCAAATATGTATGCAAGAGACATAGGCACCCATTTAAAAGGCTCTAGTTCCTGGGTTCAATATGTTAGAGTTCACTTCATCTTTTTTCTAAGGATGGCAGTTTGTCTTTAAAAAATTGGCTAAGAAAAATAATAATAAAAAGAATAAATAAAACACTTCAACACTTACATTCCAGTCTATAGTAACAAAGAAAGGGTGACGTTTAATTTCTTCCACGCCATCGAATCCAGCACCTGACAAGAGAATGAAAATCAAAATGAAGTCATGCATGACATTTCTTCTTCAGCCTTCCTACCTGTCTCCTCTTTTCTTCTAACAAATCGGAGTAATCATCTAAACATATCTTCTAGTCAATAAACCCTGAACAGTGCAACAGCCATAACAGTTTTAGGTTCTTCATCTTCAAATGCTGTCTTCAAATTTCCATGTGTACCAAAATCATCACTCTCAATAGTACGTTTCCTTCACCATTAAATTTAGGAAATTTAGGGAAAATCGTCTGAGATCTGATAATGAATCTAATTCCTTCATTACTTTTGCCTTATATCTTCACTGAAGATTGCATTTTTATTCCTTTAGTTCAATTTATTTGCTTCAGTGCTCTAACAAAAAACAACTGTTGCTCAGTAATAATTAAACAACTGTCAGAGATGGTTTAGCATGCCAGTTTGGGAGTTGATTTGACTTTATTAACAGCACCTTTCATTTTCCAGTAGGAGAAATAACATCTGGAAGCAAAGGCTTTGCATTGCAATTTTGGAATTAATTCTTGAAAGGTACCCAGCATTTCTTTACAAGAATGCTGAGCATCCTTGATTCCCAAAAGGACTTGGGATTCATAAGTACCTTGCAAAAGGCACTTAGTACCCCAGAGGACTCAGCTTTTTATAGGCAGTATTTCTCCTTTCTGAAGATCAGCATCACAAGCAGCTTCAGAAAGGTCATTTCTACGCAAGCTTTTTTAAAATGTGACATCTACTCTCCTTGTGCACAAGACATTACCAATGTTTGCCAAAATGCACTGATCAGGAATGGCTTCCTACAGCTTGTTTAACATTCACATTCAATGGATATGAAAAGCAAACACTTTATGAACATAACAAGCAGGATTGTCTCTCAGGCCTGCTGGATAGTAAAGCAAGAGGAATGTTCTTCTGATTACTTCCTCATCCTGGTAATCTTACAGTATAGACCAATGTAAGTGACCCACGTGAGGATGAACAATCCTAGCCTGTCATACAAAATGAGGTGATCAACCTCACTGAGGAGTGAGGTCCTTGGGTTGTTCTAGGCAAACACAACATAAAATCAAATCTTAGAAAGAGAAAAGAGGACAAAAGAGAGAACACAGTTAACATTGTCACTGCATAAGTCTGTTGCACACTTACAACATGAGTAGGGAATGTAGTTGGCATCCTCACTTACAATAAGGGTATACTTATTAAAGGCAGAAAAAAATTAAAAAGAGCAACAGGTAATGGTATGGAATGACTGAGTAGGCCTGGACTTTTCAACCTGGTAACACATGACAAAGGGGGTTTACAACAGGTAATTAAATGATGCTAGCAGAAATCAGGTTCAAAACAACCTGAAGGTGTTTCAGGAAACAGATAGTTGTGTGATGTTGAATTCCTTGGAAAAGATGATGTGGATGCAAAATCTTTGTATGGGTTCAGGAGGGGGTCAGAAAAGTATGTTGGAAAGAAATCTATTGAAGATTACTTCATTGACAAACCAGAAGAGGTTCAGGAAACTCCTTGCTTGACCTTAAAGCAGGTATAGACTAGGAGAAAAATAGAGTGAAGTATCACATCTGCTTACCCTATTCTTACTCTTCCCTAGGCAGTTGCTTATGACCCATGGGTACTGAACAAGACAACACTAAGACTTAGATAGTAATAAGACTTGTTCTGTGTCTTCGCTAGCACATGTTTTCAATGCACAGTCTAAAGTCTGCACTAGATACCCTTGGTAGATTCATTCTGATTTTAGCAACGCCAACAGAAACACAAAACAAACACAGTTACTCAGAAGAGAATTATATTAAGCAACTCTTCAGAGAAGAAGTAACATGAAAAATGTTCTGTGTTCAGCAGCAGCAACTAGAAACTTTGTAATGTGCAGTAGATGTTCTTTGCTACATAACATGAAACCTAAGTGCCAAACTGATTTCAAAGGACTAAGATAAATGCTACAAACACTGTAAGCTACTGGTATCATTCCCTAGACTGAGGATAACTACTGATGTATTCAATCTTCTCTGCTGTGTCCTTTCCCCCACTGTTGCCCTTTTCCCTCTTCTGTAAGCTTATGGATACATTGCTGTGTGATGTGAATGACCTGCCTTTTCCATATGATCTATTCAAAAGCCACACTTTTTGCTACTGTTGTTCTTTTTTCCACAAAACCACAGAAATCAGAACCGAGGAAAAAGCCCACCGATAGCTACTTCTCTTAGTGGGGAACCACAGTGTGCAGCAAGGAATGCAGTATGCAGTTGACAAAGGCATTTGTTTGAAAAAATGGGTATTTCCCACTAGGGGCCACCTCAGAGCTCTGGCACAGAAGGAATATGTTGTTAGGAGTGCCAGGACTGGACTCCATCTCTAGCTAGCTTAATATATTAAAAAGATTTAGGGTGGAAATAGCATAATTTTGCTAAAAGTGAAGCACTTCCAATTACTAGCAACTGAATTTACAACAGGGAGAAGGTTCAGTGCTTCTTGCAGTTTTTCTTCCCTGATCTTCCCTGTCATGAGACCTGCTGGGTTGTCCTCTTGGGCTGTGTGTTGTGGCTGCAGGCAGCAGTGTGTGGCCTGGTTCTCTCCTCAACTGGAGAGTGGAGGTGGCCCAAGGGCACGTTCAGGGACAGCTCTGGGAGCCTGGAGGGTCAACCCTGACTCCCAAAGTCCACAGGAGAGGTTAGACACCGGTACTTATGGTGGAGTCTCTCTGGATTTGCTAAGCATGCTTCAGCCATTCATCTACCATGTGTAAATCTGAAGTGGTACTGGAAAAAAGATGGGCTTTCATGGACAAAAAGAGAAGCTCTGGAGTGGTCATAACTGAAAAGTCTTGTTTCATGGGGATGGACATTTCTTGGCATATTCATGGGTATTTAGCAAAACTGATGAGGTGCAGTGTATGATGGCACACCATGTGACTGCAAATCTTTCACCTTCCTCTAGCTTTCTGGTTGCTTTTCAAACTTTAATTTTAATTTAGTAATCAAACCTATCTGTAAAGAATAATCAGCACAATCCAAATATGCCTGTGTGCCATCCAGACCCCTAAGGGTCCGAGAAGATAAATAATGCTTTCAGATCAAATTGCCAGTTTAAACACATTATACAGTGCAAGGATTTGTACAAAAGCAGCCTCATGTTAATAAGGAGAACTTGATTATCTAGGACTGTTTTATGCCTGTAATAAAAGTGTCTATGAGCAGTAACAGTAGAATGTTTTACTTGTAATTGGTTTTGATTACTGAATCATTATGAACAATGAATCTTGAAATATATTAAGGGGAAAAAGACCTATTAAATTTGAAAGTTGATTATATGGATATTCAAAAGGAGCAGAAAGAGTTCCCAGATAACAAAATTTTAGTGCCTCCACAGCTTCAGAATTATTTTTAGTAGACCAGAATTTTTGAAATATCTTCCTAAGGTTTATAAGAGTTACAGTCACTCTAACAAAGATGAAACTTGTTTTTTAAAACTCATTATATTATAAAACTGAAAAACAAAGTTTTCTATGTACCAAAGCAGAATGTATATTCTCTGAGAACATGGGATTAAGGAAATAAGAACTATTTATTTGGCTTTTACTCTGAATCTACTGGCTTATACTTCTACTCTATACTTTCTTGGCCAAGCTTCTCCGTTATAAGTACTTCAGAGGTTTGATACTGCTCAGCAGTGCAGGGAGTTCCTGAAATGCTCTTAACATTCATTTACCTACCTGAGTAGATCCAGGCCTTAGGGCAAGTAAGAATTAGTCCCCTGCCTAAATTCCTAGCAATGTAATGAACACCTTCATCGTACAATTTGCTTTCTGAGATGCTTAGTCCTTGTTTGCCTGGATATTTCAGTTAATTTCTTTTAAAAATTTTAAATTATGCTTGTCCACAATATGAAGTTTGTTGTACTTTATCAGAGCAATACTATGAAAGCAGTGTCGTGCAGACTATTTGTACAGCAGAGTGTGCAGGCTCAGAAAAGAACAGGTAGCGGCAGGAAGGAAGGAAGGAAGAAATGAAGAAGAAAAAATTTGTTCTAAAGCACAGGCACCAGATTTAAAAATAGACTCAGGTAAAGTGGATTACCAAATTCCTTCTCTGCTTTGTCTGAGCATCTCCCTTCAACTCTATTAGCTTATTTCCATTAATAATCCAAAGCTTCAAAACAAAGTTTCACAGAAAAATTTTAGAATACATCATCAATCTTTACTTCTATTTGTTAAAATATCAAAAACAAATGACATAAAAGCAAGATGTCAGTCAGAAGAAAATTATGTTCAAAGCTCAGCATCTTTCATCTTGCCAATGTTAAAAATACTTTGGAGCAAAATACACTTTCCAGATTTGCAAACTTCTGAAACAATGCCTGAAAAAAAGTGTTTGATCCGTAATATAGTTCATTTATTTTAGCATGCTTCATTAATTTTCCAAAGATTTTTCAAAACAGGATGTCTAAACCTACTTTTCTATTAACATCAGACTATTATTCCTTTCCCAGAAAAAGCTAAAATCCACAAAGTTGAAGTGTTTTTACCTACTGACTTCTGTACAGAATTTAGGCCAACCATTTTAGTATTCCTTCTTTTGTTACCAAGAAGTCTGTTTTCATCGTCCTTCATGCTGATTCTCAATCAGTTAAAACAGAGAAAGCCTTCAGAAGCTTTCCACTGTTATGTCTCAAATGTTAAGACCTATTTTTCTATTACTCTTTTACATTTTATGTCCTTGGATGTTTGTGTTATAAATAATCTCTTCCTTTCTCCCAGCCTTTCCAGTATTTCAATAAACCTCGGGTTTAAAACCTTGATATTTAGCATTTGCCCATTATTAAAAAGGAGACGATATGAGGGCTAGAATTGTCATGGCTAAAAGTAAGCAACTTTGCTTATTTTAGTGAGTAGCTTTTTATTTAAGGACTAGTATCCAGAAACTCCCACTGACTTTACTGGACCCCATTTTGGATGGATAGCAGCTTGTGGGAAGCCACAAAATGAGCTGAGCAGAACAAAAGCAAGAGATGGAGACAGGGAGGAACCAGCAGAAAGGAACAGAGCAGGGGAGTGGAAAAATTTCTTTATTTGTGGCAGCATCTTATTTTTCTGAATGTAGATTAAACCTAGAAATCCCAAGGCTCTAATTTTGTCTAATGTCAAACAAATGGTTTGAGAGCAATTGAAACCTGCTGAGAAAATGTGGTTTTCCACTATATTTTCTACAGGTAACTATGGGAGTTACCATTCAACAGGTAAAACCTATGAACAGGCATTCACTCCACAGGTGTCCCTCTGGGAGGAGAGGGGCCACAGAAATGTGCTGATGGACCAGGTCCCCATTCATGCTCAGCCCTGTGGGATGTCAGGTTGTCCCTTGATCCCTGTGTGGAGCATGGACTCTCAGGTTCTGCTCTCCTCACTCCTCACTGGTCACAGTGAGAGGCAGCCTGCTCCATACTCTCCTCTTTTGGGAAACAGCTGAGCCACCCTGTCTGACCTCTGCATGAGGTAGGGGCTTTGGATAAGTTACTGCAGCCAGGCAGAAAACATCCATTCACCTAAAATGTGAGTGTTACAGTACTCAAAGTAAAGCAGAAGGCTGGAGCAGCTCACACGCTGCCCCACCTGAAGCAAGGGACAGTGCTACCAGAGCATGAAAAAGTGAAAGGCACAGAGCATAGCAT